ATGAGTAAGACTGAAATCACCTCTTTCCTTGGCTGACTGACAATGAGGGACAGAGTGAGGGATGGTAGAGCCCCCCACAATGGTAACTATAGCTTTTCTTTCCTGAGCAATGATCTTGGAGAGCCCAAGGGATATCTTCTAGTCCTCCATCAGGATGTTGTGAAATGACATTGGAGGACCCCTGTCTTAGTGAGGAAGGGAGGACAAATATCCTAATTGATTAGTAACAAGGAGCAGTCATGAGTCCTGATTCCTTGAGGTTAGCTAAACACTTGATGCAAATTTGACAAAATTTTAGAATTTTCTGTGAAGCTCTAGCCAAATTCTAGTCTCTCTGGCAATTTTCAGTAGCGTAGTACATTTTGGCTTTAGGGGTAGGGCTTGCAATATATTATGTGGCTAAGAGAGTAGAGCCTCTGGGGGTTAATGAAGAAAAAACTTTGAAATCAAAAGTCCCTAGCTGACGTGAAGAAAAGTTTAAAGATGGAACCTAGTTCTTAAGGATATCTAGTTAAATGAAGGCTACGTCCTTATAACTAGTTAATATAGACAATGTTGAACTATTAAAATATTGAAATCAATTTGTTTCGATCTAGAGTTTGACTTTTTATAATACATTTCCTGGGAAATACATTCCTAGTAAAAGACCCTTATATTCAGTAAATATTTTTCCTGGCATAAAGAATAATAAAAAGACACACTTTTGTATAATTTTACTAGGCATCCACATTTCAAGCAATTTCTGAATCGGTTTCCTCTGCTCTGAGTAACTCACAACCTGTGATTTATGGTTTTGGAATAATTGAATTTCTTGGCTGTTACATACTTTGAGTAAGAAGGATTACATATGTTTCCAGGAAAACGATTTAAGGAAGGCAAGAATGAAGTGAGGCCAAGTTCTAAAACTTTATTTGGAAACCGTGTTCTAACCAAATGGTACTTAAGATGCTCTATCTAAATTTCTGAAACATGTTTGCTAAATAATCTTTGAAAATGCAGCTTTGGACATACGGTTTCTAAACATGCCACTTTTGAGCTTAAGTCAGTGAAAAGAGTAGAGGACCACAGATTGTTGTTCTCACCTTCCCAAGCATAAGAAATGCAGAATTTTTCATTGACGCATGGTAATAGGCTGAGTAAATTTCTTCAAAAATAGAAGTTACACAACATCTCATTTTACCTGTCAAACACAAAATATTTAGTTATTTACTGGAATATTTCTATGACCAGAATTTTTTTTTTTTTAAACATGAAAACTCTAGCAACTTTTAGACTTTATTATGGATTTGGCCTACACTGTATTTTTCCTTGTTCTTCTTGGTCTATGGACTTAACTGGTCCATCAACTTCAAATTTCATGGAGAGTTTACCAATTTCTTTACATTTTATTTTAATGATAAGGACTGTAGTTTTGACTAGCATTGACCGATAAGACTTTCTGAGGTGATGTTTACCCTGTGTGGTATTGAGTATGGTTAGCTCTATTCAGCTGAGAAACTGAATACTTAATTTTGTTTTGATTAATTTATGTATACATTTAATCACACATGGTTAGGTTAGTGGCTACACTATCAGAATATAGGTAGACCTTAGAAAAGTGAGTTTATGACCCTGAGCAATTCACGTCTACATTTCACATAGCATTAACATGGGCTGCTTTGGATTGTGTTCTAGGGTTTTCCTCAGTGGCTCTCAATTAGGAGGCAATACTTACCTGCCAAAGAGAGAAGTAAAAATTTGTTAGGACATTTTTGTTTGTCCTGGGGTATCCTCCTGACATTTACTAGATGGGGGGACCAGAGATGCTTAATGGCTTAAAATGTAAAAGGCAGTTTGCACAATTACTGTCTACCCCAAAAGCCAGTAGCAACAATTTGAAAAGCACCAGGTCAGCAGAATTCTCTGAATATTGTGATTTCATCTGTGAGATCCCCTGCAACTTCAGTCCTATCTATAGCTAAATCTGTTTCCTACAATGTGTATCTTATCAATGCCTGCCTCCGGGGAACCTCACTTTCTTATGGTCATTTTGTTCTGCATCTTCAACCACTCCTTCTCTACATTTCCTGTCTCAGAAAATACCCTGTCTGAATTCCATATCCACTAGCTGGGACTCTCTCTCCTCTTCATTCACAGCACCCTGACCTCTGCCAATCTAGGGGACAATTCTGTCCCCCAGAACCTGGTGGGGGAAACTATTTTTTCTATTATGATGAAAAGAGAGTTCACACCATATGCAGTTTCAAAACACATCATTTTATTACATAGACACATCAATAGAGTCATCATACCATGTTCCACTTCTAAACAACTGTGTATGTGTGTGTGTGTGTTTAAACACACACACACACACGTTTAAGTTTCCAAGCAGAATCCACTTTTATTCTTTTATGCTTACAATAAATTCACCTTTTTGTAGCTAGTTTCTACAGCACACCACCACACTAGTGTCACATATTTTGTTTCTTCATTTACTTTCCCCCAAGGGTAGGCTCATACTAAAACTATAATGTAGTCACTTAAAGTATTCTAGTTCATAGATCAATTTATTGTGAAAGTTGAATTTTCAAGTACTTGAACAATGTCTTCCAAACGTCCCCTACTTATCTCAGAAAGAATCACTCTACATCCCAAATAAATCGCTTCTAAATAACCGAGCCCTGAAAATATTGGGTTAAAAGAACTACATTTAAAGACGTATCTATGTCTGGTTATATACACGGTAGCCTATTTGGGTAACTGTCATGATTGCATCTCTTCTTAACTCTATATTGAAGCAGTGATATGCCTACTTTGTCCTTTGATGGGTGATTTCATAAATTATTTCAAAAGGCATTAAAACATCTTACTGATGTATTAGAACTCTGTATTATACAAATATGTCTACAAAGAAATGCTACCTAGAGTCAGTGGTTATTCCTTCAGTACAAAACTACATCCTTGAGTAAATTCAGTAGAGCTATATATATATAAAATATCTGCATCTACAGTTTAGATTTTCAGTGATAAAGATTATGCCTATTGATGGCATCAAAAGAACAGTGATAATGTTAATTCACTATTTGAGGTTGCATTTATGGGCAACTTCTGTAATCTACTGGATACTGAAGTTATTCATATGAGTTAGGAGCCTTCAAGCACTACAGCAAACAACCATAGCCCAGCTATTTCTTTTGACTATCTACAGCCAGAATTTTTTTTATGAGTCAACTTAAATAGGGTAGGTGATGATCACGATACTCTAAAACTAGAAGACCTTCAGATTTCCATTAACTGGAGTTATTATTTTGTTATCATAATTAAAACCCATATTTTGTTTCTAAATGATAACATGTTCTCATCCTGAGTATTAATGGTTGAATTTACCTGTGGTTAATTAATAACTCATACAAATGACCTGAAAATTGATTAGCTTTGGGGAAAAATGAAAGTATCCAATACAATGAAAACCACATATTTTAAAATATTAGATTTCTTTATCTGTTATCAGAGGTTGTGTTCTCATAAATATTTTCAAAGACCATGCTATTTTCTTGCTTACTCATATTGTCACAGGTGGCTATTTTAACATTTCCCTGTGGAAAAGAAGGACTGAATCTAACTACATAAATGTAAGCCTATCTTTTTATTTCCTTCTACAAAGACCTCTTTCAGGTTCTTTGGATGTACATATTCTTAAAAACGGTCTGTTTATATTATTTTCATAAATTATAAAATTTTAAAAAGATCTAAAATTCTAGCAAAGCAAATTATAACTTTACCTTTTGGGCATACATCATCTGTCCTTTTATATAATTTAATTGGGCTGCAAAGTGTTTGAAATGTAAGTATCATGAAAATCACAAGTCATTATGTCTATATTAATAAATGTGGAAGTATGTGATTTAAAGTTATGTTTATAAATCAGTATTAATCATCGTTATTACAGAAATGCCATTAATAGTAAAATAGCCAGATAAGTAATCTATCTTTATACTACACTATTCAGATCACTCAACTCCATAAATATCAGTCATAATGATATTTACACACAGCAGACATAATAAAAAGAATAAAAATGAACAAATTTAGTAGAAATCAAACATGTGATTTTGTGGGCATAGAAAAGCCTTGAAAAATTGCTTTCCCATCTCTTTGGGAATAGAATCCTGATAATACCCCAACAGCATTACAATCTCTTTTTGATTATCTATTTACATTCATGTATGCTATAAATATATGCTGTATATATTTTCTATATTTACAGTATATATACACACACATACACACATGTGTTATTTTATTCTTAGGCTCATTCATGAACATGCAGATCAATCTGCACAGTATAATCAAAACATATTTATTTTCCTTAAATGATATTCATTTATAACTTTTCACCCTTGTGCAAAAATGCAAAAATATCATACAGATTAGTATGGTCTCTCTCTAAAAAATTTTTCTTCTTTATGCTTTAGGGTTTTTTTGTCATTTACAAATAAATTATGAAATACAGTTCATTCACAAATTGGAAATAATTTTAATGTTTTTACAACAAGGCATTACTGAGGTTTTGAATTGTGGTATTCTTGAAGCCACTGTCTTTCAAAACAAAGACATAAATAACTTATTGTTATTTCTTGATATTTGTACTTTGATTATTTATATGAAATATGTCATTACAAATTTAATACTCATGCTAGTCAAATAGTGTTTTTGTAGAATATGAATTTTTCTTTCTGTTTATTCCTTTTTTTTTCTTTTCCTGAAAAGTCTTTAGAACAGTCTGGAATGTCTGTTCAAATTACTGCACCAGAACATTTCTGGAAGGTTCTCACCCAAAAAGAAAAAAAAAAAAAAAAGCTGAAGAAGTAAGTGAGGCAAACTGAGGGAGAATGATTATACTGGGTGCCCATGAGAGAAAACAGCAAATATAAGAACTGCTTTAATTTTATCCCCTACTCCTTTGGTATTTCCTTTCCTCATGAAAATCCTAAAAAATGTTCAGTTCTTTAAAACATTGATTATACTCTTCCGTTAAATATCAGTTGTGGTCCTCCATTGCTCATGTTGTCTGTCATTTCCTGTTAGGAAAATAAGATGAATTAGTTAAAATTTACTTTCAGAGTAAGATACTGATTTGGCTAATGGGTTTGCAAAACAGAAATTTCAAGCCACTGAAAAACTTCCTGCGTTTTGGGGAAGGGCAAGGATTGATACTGTTGTTGCATTTGAGAAATGAAATTTCATGGCATCTTGGAGCACATGAAAATGCTGAAATGATAGTCTGTTAGACCAAAGTCTTCTATGCACAAAAACACTTCAGTCTGTCCCCAGTGCCCTGAGTCTCTTCTTTTCTTTCTCAACTTTATTTTGGAAAGACCTCACCTAGAAAGAAGATGGTTAAATGCCTACACTTACCCCTTGCATTGGCTTCTCTGCTGAGAGTGTCAGCGAAGTGCCCACATAGCCTAGGGGTTACCTCATTCTATAGAAAAATGTGTGGCATTTTTGCAAAGAACTGAAATAGGTCCACAAGGGGATTATTGCTTATATGCAACGGTGGATCACAGTGGGGAAGATTGGTTTTCATGACACTATCATTCATACAGTAAAAAAAAAAAAAAAAAAAAAAAAGCCCAACCAAACAAATAGTAAAACCTCTTAATATGTTTCTTAAGGGATCAATTACGAGGACGCTAATAAGGAAAACTACATGGAAGGCAAATGAAAACTTAGAAAGGATGAACTAACGTTAAGTTCCATTTGCAATTTGAGAAAATGTTAATTTAAGAAAAATTTAGATGTTTTGAATTCATACTTATCATTGAACATTAAACTCCTCCCCTAAATATGAGAAGGTAATGAGATGTGAAGCCCATTCACATTTATAATGGCTAGTGTGCCATATTATAAAGAATATTTAAGCAAAAATATCTAAAAATCTTTCCACATGTGAACAAGCCTATTTGCAAAAGTGTAGTAAGGAAAATTCAAATCCAAATTCTTGTTCATTTACTTTAAGCCTATCAGTTTATATTTGATTGACATTTGGGGGAGAATTAGAAATGTGTGCTTTTGTAAACTTTAGAAATTCTTCCCAATATTTATTTGAAAAATGAAAAGGTATCCATGCCCTATTTTGACTCTCTTCTCTTAGACAATTCAATATAGGAGATGAAATAGAATAAAGATACTTGCTTCTTGCTTTGGCTGGTTTGGAAAGTTGCTCGGGGAGAGGATCTGTGAGGGACGGGAAGGTAGAAATTGGCCTGGCTTTTGAACTTTGCTTTTGAAAACTTTGTTGTTTTGAAAGATGTGGTGGAACTTCTTCCAAGAAAATTGGGAGGAAGGAGACAAGAGGCACTGGGGACGTTTCCTACTATCACATCAAGCTCTGTCTCTCCAGGCAAAGGGCCTGGCCTCTTCCAGGTCCTAAGGAGTAATCTCATACCTGGCTGGCTATCCACTATATCTCCCTGGTAAGGTGCCAAGAAAATACAAGAAAAAAGCCGAGAAACTCAAACTCTTTTAGGATGAAGACTCTGACAGAAAGTGAAGAAGGTTCTTTGGCGCCAACAGCCTGTTTCTGTGGCCTGGTGATGGTTCAGTGACTGGCTCACTGGGTGTGCAGATGGTAAAAGTAGGCGTGGAAACACAGTGGGGTTGTTGGGCTGAGATTAAGTTCATCAGCAGGAAACCTGATTTGAGGCTTCATTCAAAAACTCACTGTGGGTGGCAAGTTAAATAGAAGCGATTCTTCAAAAATGATCTTTAACAAAATTTACTCATATGGCTTTTTCTATTCCGCATACGAGTACAAAAACAATTTCCTAATGAACTAATAAAAGTAAAATTCTTAGGTGCTTCTTCTCTCTAAATGAATCTGCATTCAGAACAGTAGCTTAGAAACCATAAAAACTAATCTAATGTAGAATACTTAATTGCAGCATTAAGAAAAAAAATCCAGTTTTCAAAAAGCTTAAAAATGAAAAGCATTTTCCTAACTAAATTCATACTAATGTGGACACTGTAAAATCAAGGGTAGGAGAAAAGAGCAAAAATTGGGTTTTAAACGCATTAGCATTTTAGTTTATTTGCAAATAGGCATGTCCAATTTGATAAGAAGAATATGTTCTAAATTTGGGCAGGACCAAATGTGACTATTTGCAAGTGGATATACTCTCCACCATTGGGCCATAGTATCAATGAGACTTTCTGGATTTCCAATTATATCATTTAACCAAAGCGAGAATGACATTTATTTTTAGCAACCGAAAGTATAGGAAATAAATGTGAAATGTATCACATCAGATCATTTTGTCAAAAGACAGGTCTCACACAGCATTTTTACTGTATTAGTGTCAAACTTATGTCATTTGCTCATGCAACTTTGGCATGAAGGAGATACTGTTTGTCATGATCAGATACGCCTATTATTAAAAACAGAACTCGGGTCTGTGAATGATGGTATTGAGTCAGAATCATGATGTAGCAGAAAATAAAGGAGTCATGAATCATCCAAACAGGAGTGTGTTTGGATGCTTATAGGAGGCTGAATAGTTTAAATACTCTACCAACTTTCAAGCTGCAAGACTCTGCCATGTAGGTTTCTGTTGGGTCCTCAAAGTAGTTCTCGTGACAGTGATACTTTGAGGAGCAACAAACATCGCAGCATCAGTCCAGACTGATCTGCTGACATCATGGCTTCCTAGAAAGAGGCATCGCTTCCTGCGGTGACATTACAACATGGTAACTCCCTAGAAATCAGCGTACCTTGTAGGTAACTCTGGTGTCGGGGGCACCACCGGGCAGCTGGGCAAGTCGGTTATTTCAATAGCCCTCAATCTCTAATATAAATATAACAATCATACAATAAATATTGTACAAACATACACACACACAAAAACTAAATCACAGTAGTATAAAAATAGAGCAAATTAGCTACTATCCAAATACTTAATGGTAATCTATTTTTAACAACCCATTTCTTTAAATTATCAGTCCCGCTAATTATACCATAGTTTTTTTTTAAGAACATGTGTACATCAGTTCCAAATCACTTTTTTCATGGAGCAATTTAAGAATATCTACTCTCTTTATTTGAATGTATTGATTGCATACAAAATAGAAACACTTAAAACTATGTAATACATATTTTTTCTTCAGAATCACATTACGAAGGAATATGAGGTAGTAACTCTTGCTTACTCTGTCTTCTATTCTGTGGTTTTATTTCCATGATATCAAGTGAAATATTATCTTAGCCAGTTTAGTTTACAGATGTTTTATCTTTTCCTTCGTAGATCCAATAACAGGAACTGAATTAAGAAATACGTGCAAAATGCAACAAAACACAGACAGCTCACTATATCATCTGTCCTTCAAGCAGTAAATGTTACTTCCTGTTTGAATGAGTTTTATGAAACAATTAGGCAAGAATATTATTTAACATATAGGCAAAGCTACCCAAATATGCATGAAGTTTAGATGAGAATTTAATGAAGCTTTATGTGGACTGTACTATCTGCACTGGCAGGCAAGGCTTTTTGTTGCCTTATTAAAAGGTCCTTTTATGCTTCAAAATCTAATTTACATAATCAGATGCATCTACTTACAAGCACAAGAGGTGAGCTAGAAAGGGGAATTCATCAGATTTCTAAAACTGGCATTGTTGAGAGGGTATTTAGTTTTATGTGTTTTTCCTCCGTATAATACATAAAAATCCATATTTATAAGGCATTCACTATTTTATGAAATGCTATTTTAGGAACTGTGTTTTGGTATAGATAGAGAGCTATGAAACTGTTGAAAATAGGTGTGCCCAAAATAGCAGAGAAAAAAAATAATACAAAATTTCTATTCTTAGCCCAATAGGGCCAAAGTTGTAGAAAATCCAATTCCTCAAATTCTCGTCTAAAGCTGCCAGTTGACTGACCGAGATTTGACTGCAGTCTTCGTCACATGCTAGCGGTGAGCAGAAAAGGTACAAAACTTACTTTCTCAGCCATTTCATGAGAGTGGTGCAGCGAGTGCTCCCTCTCCGAAAACATCCTCCTCTGTTCGTAGCTGGCTAGTCGACAAGTTAGCCAGGAAGAGAGGGTGCAGCCGCCGATCCCGATGCACGCAAGGGACATGGAGGCAAGATGCAGAGGATAGAGGGAAGAGGTTTTCTTTGTCACTGCCCGAAGGAACTGAACATTCAGGATGCCCCCAATGAGTCCACAGATGCAGCAGGCAGAGAAAAGGATCATCTGGGAAGAAAAAAGAAAGGGAGTGTCAAGGTTGAGGGAGCCAGGCTGACCCAGAACACAGTGCCTTGTCCTGCTGCACCTCAAGGATGTCTGAGCTACAGTAAAGGGAAGGGGCTTTGGTGCTTCTCAGAGGGCAGGCGCTCTCCTTTCACCAAGTTTCTGTGCAAGCAGACTCAGTGGAGAGAGCACAGACCGCAGTGTTTCAGGACAGCTGACTGTATAAAGGCTAAGGATACATCTTTTGAAAACCCTGAAGTAAGCAAAATTTGTCTTCAAGGTAGATTCAGACTTAAATCATATTTAGTTACTATGTGCTTACTATGCTAGGAACCTGTACAGATACTATCTCACCCAGCAAACCTCTGAGAGAAATCGTAATATACATTTTGGACCATGAATGGTGAGCAGGTAACACTCAAGTTTAGGGACTGAATCCAGATTTTCTGACTCTAAACCCAGTTTCACTATGTTAATCCCCCTAAAATATATAAATATCTTCTCATTGAACTGTCATGAGTCCCACCAAACTTCAGATCGTGATACTTCTCTAGCTATGTGGGTGTGGGAGTTTGTTTCCTTCTCTTTTTCATTCCTGGGAGTTTTATTGTGTATCTGTCTCCCCAAATGATAGTTTAGGGACTCCCTGTGAACTGGCCCTTAATATTACAATTTTTTTGTTACTCTGTGGCACCACATTGAAGAATACACAATAGACATTCCAAGAATACCCTCTGGTTGTTTTGGGGGAAACACAGGATGGGGCTTTGCTTTTGATCCTATTACTGGTTTGATCTGGGTCTCTGTTAAGAGACCTTGGGGGTTTTATTCTACCTAAATATCACAAATTTAACTGAATATTCCAAAAGCTTTAATGATTTTATTTATATTTGCATTTAGTTCAAATTCCCCCATGGGCTCTCCTTATACTTTATAGTGTGATACTAATTTAATTATCCACACTTATTTCCATTTTTCTCCAGAACATGGTCTTCACTCCAGTCCTCTGTCTTGCCAATCCTACAGCTTGTTCATTCCCACCTCAATGACATTTTCCATTTCCTGGAAATGATGTCGCTTCTTTCTTGGACTCCTAGATGGAAGACAGAAAGGCAGTCCTATCTTCTTCGGAAAGTCTTCCTGGATTTGCTGCTCTCCTCCTTTGGCAAAATTCCATTGGGCAAACAGGTATGTAACATAATATAGCATTTAATTTTACAGTATCAGGAATTATTTGCTGTTGATGTGAGCTGAGTTTAAAATGCATTTATTGAGCACCTAGCATCTTTTAGGCCCTGAGTGAGGCAGCTGCTGGCATTATTAAAAAAAGAGTAACTCATAGTTATTGCCCTTGAGTATGTTGGGGTCTTATGTGAGAGAGATCTAACATTTCAACCTGGCATGGCAAATATTAAGAAAGAGGGATGAATTGGTTGCCCTTGGAATAAGGAGGAGGAGAACGTAGCCCAACCAGGAGCTTCAGACAAAGCTTCCCTGATAACATGTCATCTAAACTAAGGGCACGCAGTTCCCAGAAAAGGGTAAGACCCCAGATATCTGAAATAGCTTAGTGAAATAGCATGATGGGCAGAAAGAATTATAAGCACTTTGCAACTTGTAACTCTAACTTAATTCAGCATTCTTATTGTGTCTGTTTCGCAGTATCTATCTCCACGACTGCAAATCCAATGATGGATGAGTATATTTTTATGGTGGATTAAATATAATACTGAGTATCAATGACCAAATAATTGAATCATCCCAAGTGGGAACCTGTTGCTCCCAGTTTCATATAGAGTCAATATACTATCTTTAAAGTATATTCAGACAGTATGCAGTTTCTTGGGAAATACTTTGGTGTTGGCTCATTCTCAGAAAATACGGGAAGATGTTACATTCTAGCCTTCAAATAATGAATACTGTTAATTAAGAAAGTAAATGACAAATTATTTGACTATTATAAGAAAACATGTAATCTCTCCTGCTATTAGTCTCATTCAGTCTTGAAAGTCATGACATTTCATTAACACGTGCCAACAGAACATTCTCACCTAGGAATTAAAATGTTAAAATCTATACCTACATTTATAACCACACATGATTTTCAAATCTCACCAGACTAGAGAATTTAAACTCCAGAGATATTTGGAGTGGAGAAATTATCATGCAATTTGATTGAAGGGTAGAGAACACTTGATAGCTAAATGTCATCTATGGGAATATCAAAGAGTAAAAGAGGTTAAAGTGAATGGTAGTTTATAAAAAGTTCAGCTCTAATGAATTTTTTATAACTCTTAAGAGAATTTAGAAAGACAGAAAAAAGACACTAGTGCCTTTTTAAAAATTCCTTCTTTTCCCTTCTCCTATGAACTGAATATTTGTGTCCCTCCAAATTCAACTGTTGAAGCCTAATCCCTAATACTATAGTATTTGAAGGTGGGAAGATAATTTGGTCAGGAAGATAATCTTGCAAGATAATTAGGTCAGGAAGGTGGAGTCCTCCTAATTAAGGTCAGTATTTAGAAAAGAGATTCTAGAGAGTTCTCTTTCCCGTTTTGCCAAATGAGGACACAGTCAAACATCCGCAACCTGGAAGAGAAGCTTACCAGAACCCAACTACACTAACCGGGTCCAGCCTCCAGCCCCGTGAGAAAGAGATTTGTGTGGTTTATAAGCCACCCAGCTACAGTTCTCTGTTATAACAGCCCAAATAGATGAAGACATCTCTCCTCCCTTTCCTTCCCCTGTTCCTTCTCCTCTGCCTCACCCTATTTTTCCTCTCCCTTCCTCATTCTGTCTTTGCCCTTTGCTTCCTTTCTCTTCCTCTTTCTCTCCCCCTTTCTTTTATTCCTTCCTTCCTTCCTTCCTTCCTCTCTCTCTCCCTCTCTCTTCATTCCTTCCTTCCACCTTTTCTCCCTCCCTCCTTCCCTTCCTTCTCTCTTTCCTCTCCTTCTCTCTCTCCCTTTCTCTCTTTCTTTCTTCCAAATCCCAAAAAATTGTTATTATATAGCCATAAAGACTCCGGTAAAATAAAAGTAGGGAGAGAATGAAGGTCATGTTTAAAAAGTGATGGGACATTCATAGATGCAAACTACAAGCCTCCAAAAATTTTTATCTAAAAGTTTCTGTTTAGGTAATTTTTAAAAATTACATCTCACATGGCTAAAGCAATAGGTGCTTCATTTTTTTTGGTCACAAGAGGTATCCTCACACACACACACACACACACACACACACACACACACACAATATGTGATTTGAAAAAGTAGTTAAACAAAAATAACTAATACTCCCATCCCTGCCCTCCTGAGATAACTGGCCTCCCCCTGGAAACCTCCTTTTAGGATCAAAGACCGCTTTCTAGGGTCCAAGTGTAGTATTAATTTTGCTAACTTACAACGGTCTCTGATCTTTCCTATCGCACACAAAAAAATAAAAAATGCTTTTTCCCTCTTTTGAACTCTCCAAAAAAACATCATGGAGGGAAGTGGGGAATCCCCACCTCAGCATACAGAAGTTCTCCTCCAGCCATTATCAGAGTTAACTGGGAGCAAGTTCCATACCCCGGAAACCCATGATAGTACTGTATAACATCTGAAAACACTTATGTTTGCATTCACAGTAATAAATTAAATTAAAAAAATCATTGGGAAGTAACTGTAACTATAACAACACAGCTGTTTTGCTGCATTGCAAAATTGACTTCACAGTCAAAGCCAGTAATCCGTAGGCCCAGTTCCACATTTAAACAGTTAAATTTCCCATGAACTCAAGCCATGTCTTTTTTAGCTTATTGAAAGATTCATGTATCTGAGTGTCTAGGCATCTATAAACTGGAAAAGTGGAGACTGTTAACCACAGCAGTCATTATGGGTTCCATATTCATGCATTTAAAGAGTATCTCAAAGCTTTTCTTTCTTTTTCTTTTGTCATAGTCTCTAATATTCTTGATGGGCTTTTTTTTTTTTTTAAATGAAAAAGCCACTATTTATTTGTCAGTCCTCTTTTCATCCTAAATGAGTAATATTCAGTACGTGAAAGTTGGCTTGTCATCATTTCCATTTTCGGGTTCCTACATTTCAAATACTTCAATGCAAAATACAAACAAGGCAGAAACTTACGACAAGTCCAGATTTTTTTTTGGCGCACAATATTCCACATATGCCACAAAGAAGGAACTGGAAGGGAAAAGAACAAAAATTATTCTATATTCAAAGATAAGAAAACCTCTATTTTTTTTTTTTTTTTTTTTTTAGCTTATAGCTCACTCATGACACTTGCTCCAGGGAAGAATGAAAATTTTACATTCCCATCAAAAGCTGGAAAGGAAAATACCTCATTCTAGAAGAGTAAGAGATAAAAAAGCTAACTTTAGTGAAAATTTGTTCTTTGCCAAGTTGATATTGGTAATCCTGGTACTTAAGCAAAACCGGAGTCAGTTTTATATCAGGCAAAATTATGAAGTAAATAGATTTAGAGTTTTGTTCCTCCTATTTTCTTTCATTGTCTTTTTTTTTTTTTAAAGATTTTATTTGTTTATTTGACAGAGAGAGATCACAAGTAGACAGAGAGACAGGCAGAGAGAGAGAGGGAAGCAGGCTCCCTGCTGAGCAGAGAGCCCGCTGCGGGACTTGATCCCAGAACCCTGAGATCATGACCTGAGCTGAAGGCAGCGGCTTAACCCACTGAGCCACCCAGGCACCCAGTATTCTTTCATTGTCTTCTTATCCCTTTCTACTTTCTTAGGGAGAAAAGTGGTGTGATATATTCATTCATAATTGATTTCTAAGCAATTAGAAATCAATGGGCTCTACTACAGGTAGTGAATCTCACACAAACAAAAAGAGAAGGCATCAGAAAGGGAGATGTCCTTTAGGGACATTCTTTGTACCTCTCAAACTATGTCTCATTCTACCAGAAATATGGTACTTGTGCACACGTTGGAAGAACTCAAGGAGATGAAGCTGTTGATGGCCTGTCATTTCTTGTAAATAAGCACATTGGTGACATAATTGCTTTGCAAAGAAGAAGCATCAAATAGTCTACCAATGACACACTATTAGATACTTTGGTTATCGGAAAATGGTAAATCATTTAACTCGGTTAGAAACAGAGTCATTTGAATGTGCATTTATACATACATCTGGCTGGAAGCAAACCATATAAATAATAATAATACAGTCAATAAATAATAAGCTCACTAAGGGCTTTCAGACTAGCAAATAAAGCTTGCAGTGCAGTTAAGTTTTTCCTTTTGATCTTCTTTTAAAATTGTGCTGTCTCAAGTCAGAACTAATAATATAAGTGGTTTTAACTGGGTTTCACACATCGGTAGACTTTATAAATATATACATAAAAATATTCTAAGAATTATCTAAAATAAATAAAATGCTTGTGAGAAACATCACCAAAATTGGAAAAAGAAATAATAAGTTACTGAAGTTTCCCTTTGCAGGGATCTTTCCATATAAGGGAACAAAATAATTATAAAGCAGGCAATGATGCAGCAAGACAGATCAGAGCACAAGGATATATAAGGATTGCTTAAAACATAGATGATCTTTCAAACTAATGGCAAAAAGATCAAGATCCAATGGAATTAGGGCAGTTTATAAACTTTCCCTAACATAATACACCAAAATAGCTATGAAACAGTTTGAATATGTAAATGTATAAAAAAAACCAAGTATAGTAAAAAATAACACACCTCTCAAAAGCAAAAAATAAATTGGGATCATATTTAGAAAGCCTATGACAAACAAGGGTTAACATATTATTAATCTAATAAAGTAATTTTAATACCTTAAACCATGAGAACATAAAAATTCAGAACTTTATAAAACTTGAATACTCGTATAGTTTTCAGAAGTTTTAAAAAGCTACCTCTGAGTAACCACTGGTCACCCCCCACCTTTGTATCTTGGGTCCAAATGAACTTGTCCTTAAGAGTCCTTAGGACTCTTCCTTACTGATCCTGTCTCATGTCTATTAAGGCTGTGCTCAAGCCATTCCACTTTGTACCCCTTGGTGCTTCCAAGCTTCAGATCAGCATGCCCTTGTCCTTGCTTGCCTGACTAACCCATTACTCACCCTGAAAGTCCACTCACCCAGAACTCATTCCTGAAGTAATTTGAAAGCAATGTAGTTTTGCATTCCTTGGATCTCTTCTGAAATCTGTAAACATTGCCATTATTTATTCACAGCCAAGCTCGAGGGGTCCTCAGGAGCTTAGGCCCAGTTCTCCTTCCCAGCCACTTGGTTAGAACATCTAAGTGGCAATAAAATTACTTCCTTCTATGGTCCACTAAGGAAGGAAGGTCTGGGCTTGAGGGTGTGGGGGAGGTGGAATACAAGGGGAATCAAACAGTATGTTTCTACTCTCAATCAGGCCTGGAGAATAAATACTTCCTGATAGTTACTTCTGTCAGGGTATCCAAAATCCTCATTCCCTGGAGGAAACTTGTAGTTTGAGAAAACATCTACACATGTAATGGGCAGTATATAAAATCATGAAATTTATGAGGAGGCTTTAAGGGATGTTAGCTGAAATTTAGCCATCACAGTTTATAGAGAAGTATAAAAACGGCACAAGAAAGCAGTAAACGATCTTCCAATTTCACGGGCAGTCTGTAACCCCAAATCATAATGCTGGAATGGATCTTTTTTTTTTTTTTAAGGTTTTATTTATTTATTTGACAGAGCGAGATCACAAGTAGACAGAGAAGCAGGCAGAGAGAGAGAGGGAAGCAGGCTCCCTGCTGAGCAGAGAGCCTGATGTGGGACTCAATCCCAGGACCCTGAGATCATAACCTGAGCCGAAGGCAACGGCTTAACCCACTGAGCCATCCAGGCGCCCAACACTGGAATGGATCTTAAAAGATGACTTAACTTAGTCCTTGCAGTTTGTACATGGGGAAGTACAGGTCCACACAGTCTTGGTGACTTGCTCAAGGTCACTCATCAAGGTCACAAATCACCCAAGTAATCTAAGGCTTTTTTAAGTGAGTTAATTTATTTCTAATAATGTAATGAAATGCTCTTCAAAAGGATTTTTCAGTGCTAGTAGAGGACATCATATTAGCAAATCCAACCAGAAGTGTTCAATGAACACCTGGTCATCTATAATTGCTCTCTTTGCCCTTCCTGTTGTTAATTTTTGTTGTAATAAGAATGATTATAAGATCAATCATAAAACAGTCTACAATTAAGTGAAACTTATTATATAGGGAATTTGTTATATTTCAAAATACTTTTTTTTTCTCAATATAACTTTATCAAGGGTGCAAAGCGCTCACACCACGTTATGAAACAAGTGAAAAAGAGATCTGTTTAAAAAAATAAAATTGACAGCTGGAAACATGTATATCTGAATTAGAGACACACTTTTACATGAGACAAATAATTGTATTTCTGAGAAAATGGGCTATGTAAACCCAGGGAGAGTTATTTGCGTTGCTTTTACTCTAAAGTTATATAAATGAAATGATCTAATGACAGGGAGTGCAACTATGTAATGAAGCTAGTTAGCCCTCTGAGCGGAATTCATCTGATTCTAACTTAGATTAAATTCAATAGATGACTAAGGGTGTGATTCATTGTAGGATGAAATGGAGCTGTAATGGAAATAGCATTCTGTATTTTGAGTGGATGCTCTTCATGCACAGAGCCTTCTGCTTTTGCTTAAGATGGAAAAAGAACAAAGATGTCATCCCACGTAAACAATAAGAAAAAGCCAAAAAACAAAGACAGGGTAACTTTGAGAGCCCATCAGAATGCTGAAGTCCAAGGCAATGAAATACCTGCAATTCAAAGAAGAATAAGGCTCTGTAAGGAAATTCTGGACACACGCTGTGTGTTTTGTTGCAGAGACAGGAGAAGGGGATGTGGGTTGTCGCATAAGTGGGTGTGGGTGAGGGAGGGGTAGGCAGAGCAAAGCTCTGCTCTGTCCTTAGGCTTTCTTTGTTATGAAGCAAATGCTTTAAGCCCCTGGCAAAGGGGTAGCAAAGCTTATCATTTCCAGGATTTATGCAAATACAGATTGCAACTCTAACTAGAGGAATTATAGAAAAGATAAATGCACCAAAGATAATCACTGTAATAGCACAATCAGTTCCTAACTAGAATGACTGTCTTCTGCACTAACAGCCTAGGAGAATATATGAAGAAAAAATACAGACAAGATTCTGAAAAAAAAAAAGTACATTTGAACTTTTGACATCCAGTCAAATTCTCATTCACACAAGAGATTACAAAAAAAGACAGGATCATTTGGGCAAAAGCACTGTGGTGGGCTGAATTGTGGCTCTTCCAAGAGACGTATGTCCGAATCCCCCAGAATCCATGAATGTTACCTTATACAACAACAACAAAGCCTTTGCAGATATGATTAAGAATCTCAAGGTGAGATTTTTGTGGATTGTCCAGGTAGGCCCTAAATATATAATCACAAGGGTCCTTTAAGAGGAAGAGAAGAAGGCGGAAAGAGACCGAAGGTTCCAAGAAGACACAGGGAAGGAGATGTGAAGAGTCCACCCTGCTGGCTGTGAGGGGGAGGAGGACTGTGAGGCCCAGGATGTAGGCAGCCTCTGTGAGCTGGAAATGGATTCCTTCCTGCGGCCTCCACAAGGAATCTAGCCCCACAGACCTATTTTAGATTTCTGGCCCCCAGAACTGTGAGAGAATAAATTTCTGTTTTTTAAGCCATTAAGTTTGTGGCAGTTTGTTCCAGCAGCAATAGGCTAATACAGGCTCCAAAACATTGTACATGACACACTCTACAAGAATTACTAGAAGTTGCTAAGGAAAACAAGCAGGGAAAACCATGAGATAAGAAAGAAATGTAGGAGAAAAACACAAAAGAAAACGAAACGATAAATCTTTTACATTCAAAAGTATTGATTGGAAAAATTAGTATCTGTTTAGAATGGATATCCCAAGCGACTCTGGCCTGATACAGGGTGAGGTGGGGGTAAAGAGGATGTAAAGAGAGTTCCAAGAGTCTTATCATTTAGCAGAATAACATAATAATTATAATACCTAATAATAACTAGAATAGCTAACTAGTTCTAGATATTGACGGAAAGTACAACTTTAAATCTGTGCCTTAAAATACAGAGACTGAGAAAATAAAAATAAAGAGAAAAATACAATTTGATAGTAAGGACTGAACCAACAGATG